TCTTCACGTTGTAGTCTAGGGTTTCTGGTTTAAGGTTTTCAAAGCCCTTTTTTTTTCGGCAATGGAGACGGTGACGAAGCTAGCTGCGGAGAAGCCAGTGGTGATTTTCAGCAAGAGTACGTGCGACATGTGCCACACCATCAAGACCCTCTTCTATGGCTTTGGGGTGAACCCCACGATCTATGAGCTCGATGAGATGCCTAGAGGGAGTGAGATCGAACAAGCCCTCTCAAGGTACGGCTGCAGCCCGACGGTGCCGGCTGTATTTGTGGGTGGTGAGCTCGTGGGTGGACCCAATGAAGTCATGAGTCACCACCTTAACCGGTCTTTGATCCCCATGCTGAGACGGGCTGGAGCTATATGGGTTTGACTGAAAAAATGTCTCGTGAAGTAATAAAGATGTGACTTTAGTCACATTGCAGTCCAATAACGTACTAGTAATTACTGATCTCTAGAGTCTGCCTACCTACATATATATGTATCTTCTTGGCAATGTAATGTACTACATATAAAGTTTTGTCTTTGTTTTCCCTCTATACGTAAATAAAGAAAATCAAGGTGTTCAAAGGAAAATCTTAGAAAAAGTATCGATCACCTTGATTTTCTACGTGATGGAGCCAAGTTGCATAAAAATTTAATGTAATTGATAATTAGTGATTAATATTATAATTAATATTTTTAAAATTTTTAAAATACAATTAATCACATTAAATATATAATCATGATTCAATTGCATGAAGAGTGTTGAAAGAAGATTACCAAATAAAGTGTTCCTGGCTAGCGTATTCATCATAAATAAAAAATTATTATTTATTTATAAGTTGTTATATTAATCGAGAAGATGGATGTCATATATGTAAATTTGATTTTTATTTTATGAAATATGCAAATTTGATGTTATAGTATATATACTTTCTTCCTTTAAAACGTTAATAATATTTTGATAGATGACATTAATGTTTCAAAACAGGTAAATAGTTTTGCATAACATGCACTATTGATAAAAGTTATCGTAATTTTTATAAAGCATTATATTTTTAGAAATTGTTTTTCCGCAATTATGGCACAACCTCTCGTGAATTAGAGTAAAACTGGGCTTCAAAAGCGAATTAGTTAGATTTAACTTCAATGTCAAATTGGGTTGGGCTAAAATGGGCTACATCAAATGTTTTGGTCTGAAGTGGACATTGGGCTCACGGTTTGCTGCTTATCCACATCTGCAAAAGTTGTAACACATGTAGTGGGAACTGGGAAGAAAAGATTTGAAGCCCAAGTCCCGAGGCCGAAGGATTCCTTCAAATTTCGAAGGCAGGCGGCAGGCCGACTACCGAACGTAATTAATGCCTCCACTATTCCAAATGGTTAAGTCCCATGTGCTGTTCAAGGATAGTAACTCGCACTCGCCGATGGTGGGGCCAAAAAAAAAAAACGTAAAATTGTTTTTTTTTATTATAAAAAATATGGTTAGTAAATTAGTATATATTCGAGTCTTAATCGAAGAATCAATCTAATGATTATATACTACACTTCATTTTACTTTTCACACAAAAAAGAATCATGTGAGAGAGTGCAAAAAAACATAGTATTGTTGATTGATGAATTAATTGCAAGTTAAATAGTCGGCCACTAAAATGTTAAATAAATAACAATCGATAACCCAATAAATATTAAGACATTGGTGTTCATTACCTCAACCTGTTAAAAATTAGGTAAAAACACACACAAGAAAAAATCAAAATAATATTATTATTTTTATTTTAAAAAATATATTATTTTAGTTTTTATAAATAAAAATTTTAATATTAACTTAATTTAAAATTTTTCGATATAATTTTTTTTTTTTTTATAAATTTGACTAACGAATATTTTTTTGCCATATTAATGAATATTTTTTTATAAATCAAAGCTGCTCCCACAGCGTCACCAAGCAAAACGTAACTCAGACCCGAAGGAGGGGAGGGTAGCAAGGTGGCTCCATGAGGAGATGAGTGACCCAACGAAGCTAGATACCCTGCCCTCTGCATTGCCCTCAGGGGGGGTGTGGCAAACAGATTTATGATCAAAGAAATTCATGGGAAACCTGATATCGAGCCCAATTGCTGCAACCAGATCACTTAAATTGATGCTTAAATGTTACAAATATACGTATCGGGCCATTTGATATACAGCTTTGGGCAGAAATGAGATCACTTTTTGTATACTTGAGGCCCAACTGACATGTTGGGGGCAGGAATGTAACAACGTAAACTTAGGCCCGAATCAAGTAATCTTTAACTCATTAGGCTTTAAGCCCAGAGAATTTCTTCTTTATTTTGAAATTGATACCATACCAAAAAAATCAGATCTTCCCTTGTGAATAGTGGAGCATGCAAGCTCCTAGCCACTAGTTTCAATCGTATTAGAAGAGTAAAATTTTGATCTCACTCTAGACATAACAAGGAGGAAGTCATTTTTAAAATTCATTTACATATATTTTTTCTCTAATAAATTTGAATTTTTGTGAAAAAACAAAGAAGTAATTTTCAAAATGGTTTGCTTAAAAGCTCTGCCAAACATATCCACACTTGGATCTTCATCTAATGATAATATATAGGGTGCGTGGTTGAGTCCTACAGGTTAGTGTCTATATAATGGAGATTCTCTGTTCCATGCCTGGTGAAATGCAAATGCAATGCATTTTTTGGAGTCGTGTGGAGAATGTAACATCTTTGTGTGTATATATTGAGGTAATAAAGGTAGAATCTATTCCATCTCTACGCATACTTTAGAAAAGGTGAATATTTGCTCGTCTATCTTTCTTTTTTTATTTTTTTAGTTTATTTAATTTTTTATCGTAGGTTACATAGCCATATATCTTTTTTTTTTTTTTTTTTTAGCCATATATTTTTTTTTTTTTTTTTTATTGATTGCACAACGATAGGCAACTCTCTTACATCTCTTATCCCATTCCATTTACATGTCATGCGACTCAAATTCAAATTTTTTATTTTCAGTGGATGAAAATTACTACTGAATTATTTAAATCGTTGGCACCATATATCTTTTATTCTTTGATGGAAAAATGCAAACAATTACCATGCCATGCGATTTATCCAAAAAGTTAAAAACACACATAGACATAGGTGTAATCAACTTTTTTAAAACTTCTTTTAAAAAAATAAAATACATCCCTTCCATCTAGCATAAGAAAATTTAAAATTTCACTCAATTACCAAATAAAAAAACAAAAAAAATTCAATGATTCTCAATTAAAAAGGTTTCGACGCTAAATTAAATTAAAAGTTGTAAAGATATATATTAAAATGGATTCTCTATATGTAGTTATTTTAATTAGTACAAAAGTGAGCAGTCGGATTACATTAAAATGATGGTTAAAAAAAAGAAAAACACTATATATGTATATATGTATGGTATATGGTTATGAGGCTAATTTGGCTCCAAAGGCTATATGGTTATATATCAACCTGCATTTTTTAGCAGGTTTTTCAAGGAGCCATTGAGGTAGAGCGTAATGATAGTGTTGGCAGAGCCAACGAACTTACCCCCAATGAAAACCGCAGGTACTGGGTTGCACCCTAGCCGCATAAGGGTCGACTCCATTTCCTTCCCCATCGAGTCTTGGCCGAGCTCACAGATGGCAGGACTCACCCCTTGCTCATAGAACAGTCTCTTGATTACATGACACATGCAACGTGAACTCTTGCTGAAGATCACCACTGCCTTTTGGGATGCCAATTTTGCTACTCGATCGATATCTAGGGCCTTTTGAGTTTGATTGAAACGAACGCCAAATTAAAGGAATTAAAGAAAGTCTTTATAATGAGAAAGGTCAATTAGTTAGAAATT